TCTGAAGAAGAGCCCACACAGAACTATGTATGGACCTTTTTCTTTTCTTTTTTCTTCCCCCCTTTTATTTTCTATATTCAAATAGAAACAGCTCGAGGATTTCATGATTATCAATAACCCAAGGAAGTTGGGTGCCAGTACCTCATGCCTAGAATCCTCAATAACTCAGAGGATTAAGATCTAATGATTGGGTTTAGCCAGCCATGGCAGAAAAGTCCATGGGACTCTTATCTCCAATTAATCAACAAAAAGCCAGAAGTAGAACTGTGGCTTAAGTGGTAGAGCCTTAACCTTGAGCAAAATAGCTGAGGAAGTGAACCCAGGCCCAGAGTTCAAATCCCGTTACTGGCTCAAAACAAAACAAAGCAACTCTAAAAATAAATAGCCAGCAAAGAAGAAATACCTCAGTAGCCCAAGAAAATGAATAAGTTACATATGATTATGTCTTAATAGAAAAACAGAATAATTTACCGGATATTTCCAGCTATTCTGATCTTATATAAAATTTGGGGGAAACATTTGCATAATGATAACAATAAAATAGTATTTAAACATATAGAACATTTTTTGAAGAATTTATTGTGATGTCCCCAAAGTCAAGAAAATCCATGGAGGCACAGTTTAAATTGACAAGGAATTTTATTTGGTTGGCCAATGACGGCCTCATCCTGGGAGGAGCATAAACAGCACCAACTTCCAGTAGGTAGTTTATATAGGTCAGAATCATATGCAGGTGACAGTTTACAGAAGCTCAAAGATGATTAGGAATGGGGATATTCTTCAGCTGTGGTCAGGACCAGGCTGACAGCATTCTGGAGGCCAGTGATTCAGGATTAGAAGTGTGGGTTACCACAATATGAAACTCATCCAAATATCTTACAATTAAGTGTAAGAATGTTGGGAGCAGGTGTTATTAAGTACTATTATATTTGCAAATATGACCCGATTTGATTTTGGCATATTAAATTGACATAAAACTCCATTAGAAATGACACATGTCATTAGTATCTGAAAGAAACACCTTAAAAACTCAATTAGCCAGCCATCAATAACACAGGACAGATATGGCTTCTTTTCTGAAATTATTGATCAAAATTGATGCATTTTATTTAAAAAGACAATTAAGTTTGGGTCTCGATTACGGATAATAATATCAGCAGTTCAAAAAATCACTCTAGGCAATGTCATTTATGAAAATGTTAATTTTCAGCAAAAAAATAACCAGCACTACTGCTAACAATGTACAGTTGAACAGATGACATTCTCTTGAGGGGGGGAAAAACCCTCTAAAAATAGTCACAGTTTTGGAGCTGCTTGTGCATAATGTCAGAAATAATAAATAAATAAGAGGGAATATGTCAATTTGGTTTGCCTTGGTAAGTTTGGATATGTTCTGACATAAGAAAAGTTAGACATTTACTGTAAGAACTGGTCCTTGGATTGACAGAAAATGTGTCATCAAGAAGATCAATTGATTCCAGCATACAAGTGACTTAAAAGAGATAGTTGAAAAGTCATCTCAAAGAAAGTGATGGATAGAGGCTTGCTTACACTGAAAATCATATCTTGATTCATGTAAAAATATTTGTTTTATTCTTATTTTTCTTAAAAAATGGCATTGGCAATCCCTTTATATGGGTATTTCTAGAGTCTACCAGGCTGCCTGAGGTATTTTGGGGCTGTAAAGTATTTTATTTTATTCTACAAGGCCTTATATCTCAGGAATAATAAATCTACCCAGTTAAATGGAGATATGAGTTGAATATTTACAATTTAAAAATATAGCAACAAAAAGGACTTCATGTTTATTATTGTCAAGTGTAAAAAATGTTCTTATTATTCCCAAATAAGAACTGAAAGCTGTATATCTAGTGTCTTAAAAAAAACAACCCTGCTCTTTGATAAAAAAAAAATGTGAGGTTTCTTTTTAAAACACTTTTCATAAGCCTGAAAATGTTGTAACTCATAGTAGAATGCCTGTGTAGCATGTGTGAAACCCTAGGTTTGTGTCTTTTTAAAAATTTTATTTTGTTGTAAAGATGTTGTACAGAGGGGTTACAGTCACATGACTAGGGTGATGAGTATATTTCTTGTCGAGCATTGTTACCCCTTCCCTTGTTTTTGTCCCATTATCCCTTCCCTCTCCTACCTACTTTACTTCTTTCCCTCAAAGTTGTAAAGTTCATTTCCAGTATACTGTCTTGCATCATATAGGTTTGAGTCTTAATCCTCCCCCTCCAAAAAATTGAGAATATCATAGTTGTCCTTTTACTTTGAAGATCAAATGTATATGAGGTATAGACCAAAATACACATTGGAATCATTCTGTGACAGAATCCTTCATTTAACAAATCTGTACAGACTGCCTACCACTTGTCAGACATGGTTACTGATAGATGGCTATATACTAAAATACAAAACAAACAAACCAAAAACACGAGAAAGTTATCAAAGACAGAATGCCTAACTCTTCATGAAGCATACAACCTAGCATGAAAACACAGTTCCAATAAATTATGATAGTGTAGCCATGAAAGAATTATAGAGAACATAATCACATAATAACAAATTATTGTTTTACTTTACAAAATTATAACTATGCATAGTCAGAATCACTGGGAAAACCTAAAGCAGAAAGTTCAAAAGTAAATATTTAGTAAGTTTCTCATGGCATTCCTGTTTTGCTCTGTTATACAAGGACTTGCCTTCTCTCCTTGATTAGGGTCTCTATCCTGCATGAGCTATCTGTCCATTAATAAATAAGAAGCCATCTCAACTGATATTCAGATTGATTGGAAATATATCCAAATGTCCCTGTTGAAAAATACCTTTATTTTAATTAATAATAGAGCCAAAGCACAAGACTTACCAAGGCCTAAAGAACAGGCAGACAAATTTAACTCTGCCACTAAGTGGCAATGCTTCAAGGCATATAGGAGAAAAAAATAGCATTTATAGGGCTCTGTACTGTCTGTGGTTAGAGGCATCCCCTGGGGTTCTTGGAACATTTCCCTTAGAGATAAATTGAGACTACAGTAGAGAGGAGCAAACATACATGAGATAAGTTTAGGATGCACCTGGCACCCAAGCCTTCCCAGAGAAAGGTACGTCCAATGTGTAGCTAAAGGTTTTAATCATAAGAAAGCTGGCAATGCTGAGCTCTTCTCATTTGCTTCCCCTAGGAAGAGGATGATTATGATGGAGTTGGAAGAGGCAGAGAGTGTTTGGGCTGAGAAATGGAAGCAAATTTTAGAGTATGGGAAGATATGAAATAGGGCCAAACTTGCAAAGGTTTACTGGTTATATTAGGGAATCTAGGTTTTTTCCCCCCCTCAGGCTGAGAGAAACCAATTCAAAGATTTTAAAGAAGGGAAAAAGAAAATATTGTTTTTTTTTAGAATCACTATCATGCAACATGCACATTTACATACATATACACACAATCATATGTTCCAACCTGAGAAAAAAATTTTGTACATTAGAAACTGGAAAGCCGATTAACTTTCTCTAGGCACCCACATGAAAGAGGGGGGCAGCAAAGCCTATCAAATGGCAGTGAGGGATAATTTGAGGGCACTTGATTCTCATTTGAGTTGCTGAAATCACCAGCGTTTGCTAAATCATGTAATCTGAGCCTGTGGAGTTGATGAAAAAGCCATTAAGAGCAGAATAACAGTTATGAAGGACAGTAGGAAATACAGACTAGGAGGAAAATAAAGCTCGGGGTTATATAAGCTCAAGAAGAGATATATTGTAAGAAACAAGTATTATCCTATGGGCAACAACAGTGCACTTCTTACTGGTACCTCACATGTTGCTTAGGTAGTTCACAAGTAAACATGCTAAATAAATGTCCTTAACATTGTGAGCACTGATACAAGGACAGGGCACTAGACTGGAATCTGGATAGATTCTGTCTGTCCATGTATCTCTCTATCTAGATACATATGATATATGCATATATAATATATGTATAATCTCTCTCTATATATGCATAATATGTGTGTATGTGTATATGTACTCCCTATGTACAAAGTTACTCATAGATAAAGGTCATACATTATTTTATATCATGGTTGTTAGCTACTGAAATTGTTCAGCAGAGCTCCAGCTGAGCATCAATAAAACAAGAAATATGACAAAGTTATATGATATATACATACATATGTGTATAAGTCCTCATACTGATATATTTATATCTCGCTACATATCTATACCTGATTTGCTTATATCTGTCTATACAAAAGCACAATATAATAAAAACCAAAACCTTTCAAATACTGGTGGAAAAGTAGAAGGCAGGAAAGAGGTGTAGAAATATAATAGAAAGGTAAAGGTCTCAAAGTGTTGCGTTCATATTTATATAATTGTTACAATTAAATCCTGTGGTATTAAAATGCATGCTAATTACAATATTAAAAAGTACCCCTTGTGAACGTGTATTTCAAAACATTGCTTTACAAAGCACTTTTTGTAACTTTATTTCATTTGCAAATGGTAGATTCTGCTGAATGTATGTTTTGCTTATATAAGCAAACTGTATGATGAGACTGTAATCAGATTGCTCCATTGCTTAGCAACCAGAGTTAAAGAGCTAATGTGCAACAGTTAAGATAGTAGGAGATTACCTGTAGGTCAGTGCTGTAATTCCAGTGTCTTGAATTCCTGCTGTCACACTTTCAAAACCAATATTAATACAACACATTGGAATAAATGAAATTTAAAATATAAATACACTCAAGTATGACTCAATTGACCTATAGATAGTATAATCTAGTACAAACTTCTGTGTCAACCTGATAGTACCAACTGTAAACCAATACTAGAGTAAAAGTAACCCAGCAACTTTGGATCAGAAGTAAACTCTATGTTACAAAGTTAAGTAAGTTCAAGACACAGGCGTATTTACGATAAAGATAATGACTCTGATATTCACCTAGCCAATAGACACTTTTCTTAGGCAGAAGAGTAGGTGATAAAATAGTGTCAGAAAAACCTACCTGTAACCATTGTGACTGGTCATTGTGGCCTGAGGTCCAGGCATTCACCTTGCCTTGCTTATCCAGCCGCGCTTTTCTTGGTTCCCAAGTGAACATATCCATATTGAGTGTTCTAAAGATGCTGGAGGCAGTGATCTGATAGTCTTGTATGTGTCCCGATTTCATCCCCAAAGGCTCAGAACAGCCTGAAAGAAAATGAGATGGGCTCCATGAGAAAAATAATGTATCATCTTGGACCCTTTTCATATTCATTTCAGATAGGCAAGAGAAGATTAAATATAATGTTATTCAGTCCCCCAAAGAGACAGCATGGATATTCAAAAAGAAAGTGGGGGGGGGCTTAGGACTACAATCAGAAATAAATCTGAAACAAAATAGAAAAACAAGATAGCCAATTGTTGTCATTTTGTCTGAATATATTTTGGGAAAATTGAAAACAAGAAAGACAATTCAAAGTACTTTTCTGTGATAGATGATTTTTGCAAAATGAAAACAATACTGAAACACTCTCTGCTGTCTCATTACTGGAAGGCTCATGACTACTCTCTCGTTTTCAACAATTTCATTGTGGCTTTAAAAATGGGACATTTTCTCATAAAGTATATTTGGCTTTCTTTTATTTGCTTTCATATTACTGCAAATGAAAACTCCCACAGTATCAAGTATTTCACAGACTGATCCATTGTTATATCCTAAACTGGACAGAATTTTGTTGTCTAAGAAATATGTACAATCTATTTCACTGAATCTTAGTGTATCAATGTGTTTCCTTTGGAATGGAGAAATATAGTACCTGCTCAGTGTGAACTATTGGCAGGGCACTGTGAAAATACAGAGTTTAGACTTTGAGATGAGCTAGCACAGGAAAATAACAAATTCTAGCAAAAACATTACTGGAACACTATCTTTATGAATTCTTATATTTTAATCATTTTTGATAACCTATAGTGCTTGAATATTCTTAGAAGATTCTCAGATCTATGAGCTATAGTTTCAAAATCTGGAGTTTCTATTTCATTGGATAGATGTGTCATAATATCTAAACAAACCTCCAAATCTAGAACTGTAACTGTGACAAAATTCTATTAAAAAATTACATGATTCTGCTGGGAACCAGTGATTCATGCCTGTAATCCTAGCTATTCAGGAGGCGGAGATATGAAGATCGCAGTTTGATGCCAGCGAAGGCAGAAAAGTTCAGGAGACTCTTATTTCTCACTAACCACACACACACACACACACACACACACACACACACACACACACAGTACCTTAAATAGATATGGAACTGTGGCTCTAGTCATAGAGTACTAGCCTTGATCTCATATGCTTAGGGACGGCTTCAGATCCTGATTTCAAACCCCAGGACATGCACCAAAGCAAATAAAACCAAAAATGAAACCAAAAAGAAGCATCATTCTATCATCTAATTAACCAGTGGCTGAGACTTCCTTAGGTAAACCATCACATTTTAGCCAAGTGACACTCAAGTTCAGTTTGATCCTTAAGCAAAGATAAAGGAAAGGATTTCTCCAGCCAGATACATTTCCTCCACACCAGCCTTGTTTTGTTTCTGTTACTTAAATACATTTCTCATCAAAGTGTTCTTAGCATTCCACCTGGAAGATGGTGACAACAGGAGAAACAACCTAAAAGAATCTTCAAAGAAATTGGCTACAAAATACATAGAAACATTGCTAAGATAATTTTCATTCCATAGGATACTTTATTATTTATTATTATTTATTGTTTACTTATTATTTATCATTTTACTTATTTATTATTTCATTATTATTTCTATTTTATTTTATTATTAATTTCAGCTCAAGGTGAGCACTCTACCGCTTGAGCCACAACACCACTTCCAGTTTTCTAGTGGTTTATTGGAGATAAGAGTCTCACACACTTTCCTGCCCAGGCTGGCTTTGAACCCTGATCCTCAGATCTCAGCTTCCTGAGTAGCTAGGATTACAGGCATGAGCCACCAGTGCCCAGCTCTATTTTGTTATTCTTATGTGCCTACCAAAAATTAGATCCTATCATTGGGTTTAATTGCTAAAATTAGGCAATTTTAAGTATGGGCTCTTTGAGAATGGTTTAGAAATCATTGATAATTCTTCACTACAATTATCTTCTTTTTGTCCTGATTAATACAGATTACTTCTTTCCTCTTGAGGCTCCTTCTTGCTGTTCTTCAAATCTACCTTCTAGGAAAAGCCTATCCTCTGCTGACAGGATAACAAGTGAAACATGCAGTAGTTGTCTTAGCAGGAGTATTGCAGACAACACCTACATGCTAAGTCCCATGATAAAACCTAAATGTAAATTCGGTGGGAGAAAAGATGCCATCAAGGATTCCAGAATGTTCCACTCACCATTTATACTCAGCAGCTCCAACCTGAGTTGACTACAGTATAGACATAAGCCTTTCTATGGCCCATTTTTCCCTTCCCTGCTGCTATTTCAAAGTCTGGGAAATGTTGCATAGTTTGCAGATGATGTGCAAGAGGAATGGTGTGTAATATATAATACGTGAAGGAATGAACAGAAAAAAATGCTTTCTAGAATTTCTGCTTAGTCATAAAATTCATTTCACATTTGACTCTGTTTTCAAGAACGTAGCCATAAATGAATTCTGGATAATGACTTGCTCATTATAGCCAGGATCTATTTCATTCTCTACGTAATATGTCATCTCTGTCTTTCAGCCAATTTAAAATATGTCCTTTCAAGTGTTTGGGAAGAGATTAAGTGCTGATATTCTACACAGGTTTTAAAGAAGATATGATAGTTTACTGTAAACAGTAAGGCAGAATTGCAGCACTGCACTCAATTAATAGTGTACTATTATATCAATGCTTACTCCTAAATAGTATACTAAATTCTCTGCCTTTGTGTTTCACAGCACCAATTCCCCCTTTCATCGGTATGATTTCACACATATAACCTAATTAACTTTATCATCAGTGTAGACAGAGCCTGAACAAAATGGAGCATTAAGTGAATCTCTCCAGCCTCTAAAAACAACCACTGAGAGACAATATTATCCTCTGCCTAAAAGTTCAATATCAATTTGTAGGGTTGGGAGACTAAGCACAGCTTCCTTCTTGATTTTTTGTTTGTTGTTGTTTTGTTTTGTTTTTCATAAAAAGTCTGTTAAGTATCTGTTGTTCCCTCTTGTAAAACTTGACAGTGAAATATATTTTCAGCTTGGGGGTGTAACTGTGTCATGATTGAGAGACTGATTCTCATGAATCACAAGACTGACAAATTGGGGAAAGTGACGTTAAACAACTAAAAACCACAGGGCTTAGAGCAGACCTAATCGTACTGTGTTTCTCTGTGATTGCTTTATGATGAATGGCTTTGGAATGACAGTGGCTTGTGGTGATATAGAGACATGCAGTACAAACACTCTACCACAATAATTCTGCTAAGATTTACTGTCAGTCCACAAGCTACTTCAAACTGCTAAAATAGCAAGAAAGAAAGAAAGAAAGAAAGAAAGAAAGAAAGAAAGAAAGAAAGAGATCTCGGTATAGTTAATGGCAATACAACTGTTAGTTTGCTGCTTCATAAAAGACACACTATAGAAGATGAAAATGTAACTCTTTAAACAAATAAACAAATTCACTCATGTAGCCAAATAATTCTAATTTCTTTACATTTAATAGGCCCATTAAATATTAATTATTTGGTCTATTAAAATGGATCATTTATTTTCATAATAAAAATTGGTTTGAGTTCAGAGAATATAGCTATAATATCTGTATTTTGGATTTTAGGTTATTTTTTAGATAGGATCTTGTTCTCTCCCAAGAGTAGCCTGGGACCACAATCTTCCTATGTATGCCTCCCAAGTGACTAGACTTGTTCAGCTTAGTGGTTGAGATGTAGTTTTGCTGACTTTTTGTCCAGGCTGACTGCAAATCATCATTCTCTTGATGTCTGCCTCCCAAGTAGCTGAGGTTATAGCTATGAGATACCACGTTCAACCTAAATATAGATTATTTTTAATAAAAAATTTATTTTCTTTAAAAACTCACTTTCTAGATATCAAAAACTAAATACAAGAAGGGAAATAGATATAAATTATGCATTTTAGTCTGTTAATAAAATCTTCATTGATATTTTCCCTATGGGGAACTATAACTGTTTTATAAATCTAAAAGAAGCACACACACATGAAGATAACACTTAATTTTCTGTACTAGACTGTCTAAATTTATGAAATGTATGAGGTTAGGCACACTACATGATTAGCTTTGCTAGGATTTGGTCTCCTTTTAAAATTTTGTTTTAATGTTTTTGATTTATGTTTGGTGAAAGTTTTTCCATATTTTTGTGGTTATGCTAAAAGTGTATATACACCAACTTTTAGCCTTCTTCACAGTAGCTGAGTAAAATATGAACACTATATTTCTGTGGGAAATGTAAATTTCGATGCCAGAAAAATTTCAGCTACCACAAACATAATACAGTTAGATACCAGAGATTTTTCTAGTAAGTCCAGAATGTAGCTATAATAAAGTGGCATATATGCAGTATTGATGTTCTTGGAAGACAAGAATTATTTAACTCTGAGCTTTTGAAAAATTACCCTTGAGCTAGATAGTGACCCTTTATACAATAAGCAGGTTGCTAGCTAAGAATGATCTAAAAGTGAATTTATACTGCCAGTCTCTCTGTTGAGGTGTTTATTCCCTACGGAAAAATAATAAATTTACATGTTTTGTAAAATTCAGCACCAGGTTTGAAGATAAAGCTTAGCTTCTTTACCATGTAGCCTATACTTACAAAATTTATAAAGTCAGGAACATTCCAGTTTCATTGGAATTTCAGTGCAAAGCATAAGTCATAGTAATTACAAAATTCGTACAGTGCAGACAAATTAATATAAGACTCACCTGAGAGTTCACAGCCAAGAAGTTCCATTCGCAAAGTGCAGTGCCTTCGACAGACTTGAGGGTAGAGTCTCACGTACTGAGCTTTGATGGGGGGTGTGAAAGAGTTAGCATAGGGTGTGTTGTTATCAACATTTCCACGGAACACCTGGGTAAAGACATAGGCAGCATTTAAAGTTATTTGTTACAATAATTCCATTACTCATTTTTATACTTTAAACCCTATGCTTTCATAACAAAATTCTTAAAAGATTATAATTAATTTGAGGATCTGTATTTAGGAAGCACCATATCTTTGCACTGAATATAAATCACATAGATAAAGTAATTTAAACAGCAAACCACAGTGGCTTGTGGCAAGATCTAGATTCTTTTCTGATAATAGTTTCAATCTGAAGGCCAATCTTTTAGAGGCAATAAGTATTGATGAATTTTATTTATTCACCTTTTATAGGAAATGATGTATATGGTCATCTTAAATCCTTTGCATTTGGAAATTTTGACCCTTTGTGATAGAGCATTCTTATCACTCAGTCTTTTCTAATAGTTTGTTAGAATTATGAGGCTTCAGCCTGACAGATGAGGATTATACCTTCACCAATCAGGCCTAGACCACTGGATTAGAGGCATACAATTCCTGATATGCAATTTTCAGGACGAGAAAACTTTTAGCTTCTAAATTTAAAATTTTAAAATACATCATCTTTAATCCCAATGATCTCATTTTTTATTTCTCTTTTTATGTAACCTAGGTAAACAGAGCATCTTATTTAAATCCACTCAGGAAGATAATTTCCAAAATTATTTCTACAATTTCTTAGCTATTTTAATGGGCTATTTTGCTGTTCTGATATTTTCATCATTAAAATTTTGAGTGAAGCCTGGCACCGGTGGCTCATGCCTGTAATCCTAGCTACTCAGGAGGCTGAGATCTGAGGATTGTGGTTCAAAGCCAGCCTGGGCAGGAAAGTCTGTGAAACTCTTATCTCCAATAAACTACCAGAAAACCGGAAGTGCCTGTGTAGCTCAAGTGGTAGAGCTCTAGTGTTGAGCTGAAGAGCTGAGGGACAGCGCTCAGGCCCAGAGTTCAAGCCCCATGACCGAAAAAAAAATTGGAGGAATGATTAATAGCATACACATTTCTTCTGTTATGTTCTGCTAAAGAAAAAATATATTTTCAACATGGAGTATATAAGATGTATATTTGTTTCCATTTTTTACTTTTCTTGTTTTACAAAATGATAGTTGAGGTAAGCTTTAGAGTCTCATACTTGAAATCCAAGTGGCTCAGTAGACTGAAACTTGGAGGATTGAGGTTCAAAGCCAACCTAGGCAGCAGTCTGTGAGAATCTGTCTCCTAGTAAGCAGCAAAATGCCAGGCTGGAAGTACTGTTCAAGTGGTAGAATGCCAGACTTGAAAGCAAACTGAACAGGCAAGAAGCTCTGAATTCAAGCCCCATACCATCAATTTTTTTAAGGTTGACTATCAGTTGTTTCAATAAGGAGCGTGATCCTTTATAAAAACAATAAAAATGAAAGTATATAGCTGTCTGCAATTAAAATAAAGCCAAGTTTTCAAGTACAGTACTATCTTTGGGACAAAGTATTTGTTGGACTATCAATTAAAATCTGAAAAAAAACTTATGTGGCAGCTGCTGCAAATATATAACTTAGAGAAACACCTACTCACTTAAATTCACTACCCAATTAAGCCCCCAACTCTTGAGAAATGTATTTTCAACATAAGGCTTCTTCTGAAAGCTCAGTTGTCATGTAATAATTAATGATCATCAACAGAATGTTAAGCTAAGTTATATTTACCATGTCTTCACTGGTGCCTTTCACTTTGTACATTGCCCAAGTCTTCCCATCATTGCTGTAGGCAATTTTGTAGGATTTTATATACTCTGGGCTCCCAATTCTCTTAGCTCCTTGGGTAATCACACCAGTTACTCGCATTTTTCTTTGCAAGTTGATCTGAAAAGACAAAATATAGTTGATGTTAATCTCATTATTTTAAGATATCATTATGGATGATAATGATTTTGGTAATGAAACTTTTATTTATCATATAAAAAGGCATTATGTTGTTTTCACATAAATAAGTGAAATAGGCACATTTTTAAGTCCAACTCAAATATCTTTCTGTAGTCTAATACATTATTCTTTTACATAAAGCAATACTTATGAGTAGGCTTTGAAAAGTTCAGTGGGCACAGTGGGCATCAGTGGATCATATTAAAACTTCCTAGCGGGCTGGGTAGGTGGCTCAGTGGTAGAGTGCTTGCCTTGCATGCCTGAGACTCTGGGTTTGATTCCTCAGCACCACATATGCAAAAAGAAAAAAGCCAGAAGTAGCGCTGTGACTCAAGTGGTAGAGCGCTAGCCTTGAGCTGAAGAGCTGAGGGACAGTGCCCAGGCCCAGAGTTCAGGCCTTGGTGGTAAAGATCAGGATTGTGATATGAGGCTAGACCAGGAAGAAAACTTTTAAAAATCCCTCTGGACATATCTAGGCACATGGTAAGCAGCGATCATTCTAGCTATTTAGATGAAGAAGATTCTGGACCAGGCCAGTTTCTTCAACAGAAGAAACTCAATGTGGTAGCTCATATCTATCATTCCATGTATTGAAGGAAGCAGAAAATAATAGGAGGACTATGGTCCAGACATAATCTGCTGCCAATTCAGGAAATGAGGTTTTTTTAATCTAAAAATATAATTAACACCAAATAGGGCCAGAGGTGTGGTTCATATGTAAATGTGTAAGCAAACCTAAGACCCTGTGTTCAAAATTCAACATCACAAAAGAAAAAACTTGCTGTGTTCCTCTCAAAATATAAGCATAAGAGGTATCTTTTGATTGGTTGCAAGGGATGGTGTGTTTAAGTGACACCAATGTTAACTGTTCATATGTCTAAATTAATACACATTAAAATAAAGCACAATGTTTCACTAAAATCTTTATGTGTTGGAATAACACAAGATAACAACAACAGCAGCAGTAGCAGCAAAACTACACAGCAGTGTATTAGTTTCTGAAATTACACACTGTGATATATGCTACAAGTAATTTTTTTCACCAAATAATTGCCTTTCTCTTTATTTTATCATATGGAAACTTTGTAACAGGCATTTTTTTCTCCATTCCAAACCAGTTTTCAAGCAGTTTTATGTGTGAGAGAGAGTAGTAGACATCTAATAAAAATTTTAATATTCTTCTTATATTTAAATTGGGTTCTCCCTTGACACTTGACACCCAGTAATCAAAGTAAGTGTTGCAATGCAAAAATGCTCATGGAGGAAATGAAGTTTGTTTTGTTCACTTTGCAATGCTTTTATGGTGTCACAAATTTGTGAACTTACTTGAAAGTTACTATTCTTGACAACTTTTTATAAAGCACTCCTCTCTCTACAACACAAACCTAAAGGAATTAAATGTGGCATCATGGAATAATAAGTTACCAATCTAGAATTAGTATGCTAGAGAAAAACATCAAAACTCTCACACATTTTCCATTTAATCTACCAGTAGGCCTTTGACTGTCGAGATGTATATGAGGAAACCATCACTGCTTCTGAATTTCCCATAGTCTCATCTCTCTCTGAGCTTAAGAGGTCCCTCCCTTACTGCTGTTCATGAAGCTATTCTTAGGGTCACTCCTGTATAATAAACACTGGGATTTTTTTCACAATTAATATTTGTTTTTGACTCAAACCTTTTAAATATCAGGAGGTTTAAGTTTTGCTTGCTGGTCATGGAGCCTGGACTCTGGGCCTGGGCACTGTCCCTCAGCTCTTCAGCTCAAGGTGAACACTCTACCAGTTGAGCTACAGTTCCGGTTTTCTGAGTGCTTTTATTGGAGATAAGAGCCACTGCCGACTATAAACTGTGATCCTCAGATATCAGCCTCCTGAGTAGTTAGGATTATAGGCATGAGATACCGGCGCCCGGCTTAAGTTTTGCTATTTATTTATGTGCATTTCTGTATGTAAATTTTCTATATCTATATGTATATTTCTATATGTGTATGTTGAACAAATTTATGTTCTTCATTCCCATTGCTCCCTTCTCTCATTTCCAAATAGCCATGCAATGCTCTGCCTATCTATCTAGCTATATGCATATATACATATATGTGCATGTTTGTTTATGTATACATTTACCCCTCAAAATCCTCTCCCTTGGTAACCCTGGTAATTCCACTGATCTCCCCTGTGCAGCATTGAACATTCGTGCCCATAAGCATTTCTGGTACCATTCTCATTATCTTCCTAAGTCTGTACTCCATATACCAGCAAGAACAAGTGATATTTGGGGAAGCATGCCATTTGATGAATTAAATTACTGAGATGGGTGGTCTGCAGTCTCTTAACTACTCAGCCTACTTTTTGTTTGCTTGTTTGTTCTGGGTCAACAGCTCCAATTTTTCCCCCTATTTTTTTTAAATTGTGAAAATACCGTACCAGAGGGGTTACAATTACATTTCTTATCAAGCATTGTTGCCTCCTCCTTTTTTTCCCCTTCCCATCCCTTCCCATCTCACTCCCCACGCCTCCCTACCCCCCCACCTCCCCCACCAAAGTTGTAAAGTTCGTTTTTCGAAATAATGTCTTGTATATCTCATTGTTGCAATGGTCCACCTGTATTCATATTTAAACAATTTGTTTTTTCCCTTCCCCTCCACAAATTATATCAACATCAAATACAGTGAAAACAGGGGTTATACTGTGGGGGCGGGACACACAAAGCAACAAAACAATCACCTTAACAAATATGTTAGAAACAATAGCAAGCAAGAAAAACCACTTGTGTCCTTATCTTAGGGTTCATTTTGCCTAACATCAACTTATCTGAGTTTTTTTGCTTATCCAAGTCTTTCCACTTCCTAACAAATGGGGCAATGTCATTCTTTCTGATGGAGTCATAGAATTCCATTGTGTATATATACCACATTTTTTTTTGATCCATTCATTTACTGAATAGAGCTCCCCCAAGACCCAGCAATCCCACTTTTGGGCATTTATCCAAATGATCACAAACAAGACCATACTAAAGCTACCAGCAGAGCTATGTTTATTGCAGCATTATTTACCATAACTAAGATATGGAACCAATCCCCTATTTTTTTTTAGTTCAATGTCTCTTCTCCCCTTCCTGCCTCTCCCCCCAACCACGCAGGCTCCTTTCCATTGGTTCTCAAACAGTGTATCTCTGAGTGGAGCAGGTTGGTGCTTCAGTTAAAGTCTGGTTCCTTTCTCTTTGGCTTCCTTGTTTTTTTCTGGTCGTTTTCCTTCACTGAGTTCAAGAAGCTATCTCAGCTCTTAGAGACCTTAGTATGCTCAATATGCACACTAATCCTCTTAACAACAACCATCTTGCCCTTGCTTGTTCACAATTCCAACAGCATGCTGGGTAACACTGTAGACCCTTCCAGTTTCTCCATGGTAATATTTGTATGCATTTCTTTTTGAACAATCTCCATGCCCTTGATATCTACAATTTCATCCTTCTTATAGATTCTCATGTATGTGGCCAAAGAAGCAACTCCATGCTTCCTGAAGGGCCTAGAAAACATTTATCAGTACTTCACCTCTTTCTTATTGTGTTAGTCATTTTGACAAATTGCTGGAAGATGTCAGTTCCTGCCAAAAGCACAATTAGACTTTTAAATGGTGGATTTTAATTATTAATGGTGCGTTTTGGAATAAACAACCACTGGTAGTCACTGTGTTTCAGCATGTCAGGTAAATTAGCATATTGGATGGAAGAGCAATATTCTCTCATTATCTTGTGTGTGAATTGCTTTTTCTTTTACTCTGAGACTCTTCAGAACCTAAACCTTCCCAATACACAGCACAAACAGTGGGCACTTTGATTCATGTTTCTTCCCACTTTGGAAGCCAAATTTCCCATTTCATATTGCTGAATATTCCTTTTTCAATTATCTTTTATCTCATTTCAATTATCTTGTTTATGCCTCTTGTACACAGCCAAATTACCTTGGCGTGAGTTTTAGCTCATGAGCTGTACACTAATTTCCTAAAGCTTAAATTGTAAAATTGTAGAAGTATAGCAGAATTAAAAATATAAATATGAGTTCATGGTTGTCTCTAAATCACTGGAAATTTTGATTTAAAAAATGTAGTCTTGCTCTTATGTTTAAGATTATAAATATCTATTTCAGGATATAGAACTCCAGATAGTAAAGCATCATCATACTTGTTTTATTTCTATTTTAAGTAAGCATTTTAGTTATATATGCATGGTTTCATTAAACTAAAAAATATAAATAAAAATTATATATAGAACAGAGGTCCAATGATTATTAAGTTTTAATAACTTAATAATATGCTATTGATTTATCATATAGCTAGCATTATTAAAGGTGGATAAGAAGCAATTCAACATAAAAGTGTTTGGATTTCACCTTCATGCTAATGTTCAAACTTAATTCTAGAAATTGAAATAAAAATAAACAAAACCTTCTCCCACATACAAAAAAATTGTTAGCTTAAAAAATGCTGCTTGCAAATAATCTCCTTTCATCTCATTCCAACTTTATATTTTCGATCTTTTCTAAGATAACAGTGACTGAAGTTGAACCCTATAATAAATATCACACCATGTTAAATAGTGATTGGCAATCTCACCTGAAAATAACCTAATTATGCTATAAATTTGATAGTGTTTAGATATGAGATAATATGCTTTCATTTATGAGTCTTATTTCAAATTAATGAACACGGAACCAAGTACATATTGAAGTATTTTATGTAAAATATGTCTGAAAGCTATGGAGGGAAAGTCTTAGGGCAGAGAACAGTTTTCTAGATACGTCATTTCTTCTCATTTTACTTGTCTGAGCTATACTGAGTTGTAGCAAAGTCCCCATGAGATCAGTGATAAAATATGGACCAGGCTAAAATAGGAACTTGTAATCACTAGCAGCCTGCATGACTTGCCCTCTCTACTACAC